AGTCACTGGGGGACAGTGAATCCAACCACTCTGCTCCTGTTAACCCTGCAAGCCCACGCTCCGACAGGAAGGGTGGCCTTAGCTGAACAAGCGACAGGGAAGCTGACCAGACAGCACTCTCAAAGGCAAGCTCTGTGATTTAGCTGGTTAGACTCCAGCAGTTACCCCAACGCACACTCTGTGCTCTCCAAGCCTTTGCTCTTTCCAACCCGCCCGGGAATCAAACCTGGGTCCTCTCACTTGAGAGGCAAGTGCTCTAACCAGTGCGCTACAGGACTCCACTAGCTGCATTTTTGCCTACAAAATGCACAGTCAAAAGACTTTTACAGCAAATGCTGTGAATTACTTTGGGACGTGATAAGGCCCTATATCAAATGCAAGGATTATTAGTGATCCATTATACTGTAATATGTTAAGATTGTTTATGGTTATTGTTTGATAAGTGGATTTTTCTTTAAAAAAAAACCCTTGCTGCAAATCTGACGTGGTTGTTGATCAGGATGTGTATAACTGAAAGAAAAACGGAAGTCGCTGGGAACACTCAGCAGGTCAGGCAGCATTTATGGAGAAATGAAAGTGAGTCAACGTTTCAGGTCCATGACATTTCGTCCGTTCTGACGAAGGGTCGTGGACCCAAAGCGTTAACTCACTTTCACTTACACACAAAACGCTGCCTGACCTGCTGAGTGTTCCCAGCGACTTCTGTTTTTGTTTCAGATTTCCAGCATCTACAGTATTTTGCGTTTTGTGTGCAAGTGAAGTTTTGTCTCCCGCTGTTTCCTTTTGCCCTTGGCTTTTGCTTTCAAGGAGGCAACAATCTTCACACAAACACATGTCCTCTCTAATTGCTATTGTGGAAACCCTTTGTTTTGCAAGAAATCCAATTAACCTTTTACTCTGCCGCTTTCCTGATGGCACATCCCAACGTTTGTACATCTAATATAATAACAATAACCCTTGCAGTTGATGATTTTATGCTATTGAACATCTCAAAGGCTTCACAGCACTTGCTATAAAGTGTAGCAGGCACACAGCCAGTTTGCGCACAAAGCAAAAAGGAAAGTCTTGAGATGGCAAGAGGCAAAGGGAACGAGGCGAAGGGTCTATGGAGTTCCAAAGGGTGGTGGCAGAAAGGCTGAAGGCCAGACCGCTGATGGTAGGGTAGACCGGGCGGGGGGCATGGAGCAGGCTGGAGCTCATTGAATGGAGGCAGCAGATTTAGCATGGAGTTAGCAGGTCAGAGGTAGGGCGGAGCAAGGCTGTAGGGGGCTTGGAAAGCAAGGACAAGGATTTTGAACTCTATCCTCTTGGCGATGGGGAGCTAGTGATACCGGGTGAGGGTAGGGGTGATATGGTCCTGAAGCCAGGTGCGGGAGAGGACACGAGCTGCAGAGTTCTGAATGATCTCAATGGACTGAGGGAAGAGGAGTGGCGGAGCCAGGTGGGGCTGCGGAGGTGGGGGAAGCCAGAACGGCAGAAGGGGTCATGCAGTGCTCAGTCAGTACTACACTGGATTCTGAGCTCAGTCTTGTACCTGCAATCAACGGAGCAATTAATACTAACCCAACTAATGAGGAACTTGTGAAGAAGAGCTAAAGGAGTGAGGCAAGCAACTGAAACAGCAACAACATTACATTTGTAAAGCGCCTTTCATGTCGGGAGGACGTCCCCAGGCTCTGAACAGTCGGATCAGGACGCGAGCGTGGAGGGCAATGTTGGGATGAGGAAGGCCAGAGGGGTAGGAGGGCGAGAGAAAGAAGCAAATGGAATTCTAAGTGGTTATAAATGTAGGTTGAACGCCTTCCTACATTGTAATGTTAAGGCACATTCAAAAACAATCACAAGCTGATATTTCAGTCTTGCGATTTTCCATCGGTTTCTGTGCGTCTTTGTGAACTGGCACTGAGGAAGGTACATGATGTTCAACTCCACGTTTGTGCCTTTTGCTCAACTGCTGCTGTGTTGTGCGTCTGCTGTGGCTGGAATGTGCCATGCCACTGACTGCCAACCTTTGGCCCTTTGCCCTCTCAGTCGGGCGCCGGGCACTGCTTTCACTCGCCTCAGCAATTAATGCTTGACCAATTAGTTTTGAATTTTGGATTGAGATAGCATTGTCTCGTGTATCAGAAAAACGACAAATTGCAATTACACAGCGCCTTTCAGGTCGGGAGGATGTCCCAAGGCACTGAACAGTTGAGGATTTGCACCCGAGCTGAGGGTTGGAATCAAGAGGGTGGGAAGGTGGCCAAAGGTGCAGTCAAAGAGGAAGGTCTTGAGACGGGCTTTGAAGGAGGCGAGGGACGCGGAGAGGTGAAGGGACTCCAGGATGAAGTTCCAGAAGGATGGGGCGGATGGACAGAAAGCTGATGGTAGGTTGGGCAGAGCTGAAGCAGGTCAGTGTTTGCTGAGCCGAGGGAGCAGGGCTCTGCTAAAAAAAACCACTCTTCTTTTCTGCAGCTGACTAAAGCAATGCCAATGAGAGACAGTTAAGTAATACATCTATTGAGCAGATTGGCTTTGCACAGGAGAAAGAAGTCAAAATACTTGCAGGCCCAGTTGCAGTGGTCTGCAAATCCCTTCACGTCCTGGCACCTCCCTACCTTTCTGACTTGCTTCCTCCCTACTCCACTACCCGCTGCCTCTGCTCGGCTGGCTCTTGCCTCCTGCTTATGCCTCGTCCACCATCGGCGGCCACGCTTTCAGCCACTACACCCTGAAGCTTTGGAACTCTCTCCCCCAATCCCTCCATCTTGCTCCCTCCTTCCCCTCTTTTAGATCACGATTGAAGACCTTCTTGTTCGATTGCGCTTATGGTCACCTCCTCCCTCCCCCCCAGCTCGCCGTCAGGCTCTGCTACTGTTAAGTGCTACGAGAGATGCTGCCCCGTGTGAAGCGGATTCTGTAAATGCAAGTTGTTGTTGTAATCGTTAGTCACCGGTGTCGACAGACCTGATGACTTGTGCTCGATTTTCACCGCGTTAGTATTTTTGACTCCCAAGCACTGATATTATCAGTCAGCCAGGATTAGTGCAGTCAGCTACTGGGGGAGCTGAATTAACATGTGTTACACTCTCTAGTTTAGTTGCAAGTCTTTATTTTTTTAAAAAATCACCAGCCCCCAATTATGTAAACCTCTTTATCTGCTGCCGAGCCAAGCTGGCTCACTGTGTCATATTTTATAGTCTTTTGTGCCGAGGATCTGCCTGCTATTCCTCCTGGTGGGGTGCAGTGCTGGGTCATTCTGCTTTATGGCAGAGCAAATTGCTGCCCTTTGTGATTCATTCTCCCAGCTTGTCTGCGGCATTGACGACACTCCCTTCACTGAGGCAGGCTGCTTTTCGGAAGCTGCTTTCTGCTCTGCTGCCTGACCTGAATTTGAATTCGTTGGTCGCGCACAGTGTTGGCAAGCGTCAGTCAGTTTGCCTGGCAGGACCTTAGCTGAAGGGCAAATTGTACGGAGCAGTGGAAGTGATCTCCGTCTTCCTCTCTTTCTTTCCCCTCGCACGGTTTTGCCTTTTTTCTTTTGAAGCTATTGAGCTGCAGTTCCACAAATATCTTGATTGCGAGGCGAGTGTGCTAACTGCTACGCTATGGGACTTCATTATACTATGCTCGCTTCACAAACGAGACGAACCAGTTTCGATTCCTGGGCGGGCAGAGAGATACCTTAGTCAAGGTTCTTCACGACACAATCCTCTCTGTTTTTCTAACAGTAAGCAGGGTCCTGGGTGTTAGCGTCAAAATATACAGTTAATCCATTTTACAATATATTATATGAAGCGCTTTGAGACGTCTCAACGACATGATAAAGCAATACATCAAATGCAAGAATTATTCTTATTGTTATGTCCTGGTGGATGTTAAAGATTCTGTGACACTATTCGAAAAGAGAAGAGAATTCCTCTTTCCCGATGTCCTTTCCAACAACCCTCCAAATAAAATTGCGTGCTCACTCCTTGGCTGTTTGTGCGACATTGCTGTGCGCAACTGGCTGCCACATTTCGCCCACATGTACACAGTCAATCCACTTTACAGCGTATTCTGTGAAACGCTTTGAGACGTCTCGAGGACATGATGAGGCACTATAATCAAATACACGGATTATTATTATTAGCCTGCATCTTGTCACAAGTAGGCATTAACTCGCCCGCATTGCAGTAGGTTATGCAGCTGTGAAAGCACTATCCAACAACCACTTGTGCTTTCAGCAGCAATGGAAACACTCTACACTTCTCTCCTCTCCCACCACTTGGGCTAGCTGTCCGCTCACTGCGGATGGTGCCAGCTGTGTGATAGCGTTGTTCCCAGCTCACTGGGTAATGGTGGTTTGACGGGAAGATGTTGCTATGACAGCCCCTGCTTTTATGGATTTGCTGTGCGATGGGTTCAGAGGACGTTAAAGAGGCAGATTGTCCCTGTTCAGAAAATACCCATCAGAAGCCCCTGGGTGCAAATCAGTAGGGTGGTCCAAACTGGACAAGCAGCGAGAAAGCTTGCCAGATAGTGATATCAATTGCAAGCTGTGTGGTTTTAGCTGGTCAGACTCCAGTAGTCACCCCAACGCACACTCTCCCAAACTATATACTGTATCTCAAGATATTATTTTCTAACAGATATATCTAATTTGTTCTTCAAAGAATCAACACATTTGTTTCCACCGTCTGTCTCCCTAAAGAGCCTGTTCCATACTTTTATTACTCGCTCACTGAAGTAGTGTTTCCGCAGATTTGTTTTGAATTTACTCCCATTCAATCGCAGGCCGTGTTCTCCAGTTCTACTGTTCAGTACAAGATAGAGTTCCAGAGAGTGGGAACAGATTGGCTGAAAGCCTGTCCACCGATAGTGAGGCGGGCTGGTCAGGGGGATGTGGAGCAAATCTCATAAGTTTCTCGGTCGTTAGGGGGAACGGGGCGGAATTGCATCCTCGCCAATAAAGCTCTTTATGTCTGTCCTGTTCCTTATCCTAAGGTTGTGTAAAGGGTTTTGTTTTCTGTTTCTAGGGGGCTTTGCCATTGTGTTTCTGGTGAGGACTCACAGTGGGGTGAAAAGTGCCCTGAAGAGAATGTACGTCAACAATGAACACGATCTGCAAGTGTGCAAGAGAGAGATCCAAATCATGGTGAGTGATGCGAAAGGGAGGGACCAACAACAGCACAACATATGACATTTATACAGCACCTTTCACATCAGGAAGCGTCCCAAGGCGCTGGACAGTCAGAGACTTGGACCTGAGCTGGGTGGGGGGGGTGTGATGTTGGGATCAGGGAGGGTATGTCAGAGTCCTGCTGATAGAGCGAATGACAGTGCTATAACCTGTGAGGCTCTTGTGTTACAGAGGGACCTGGTTGGGCTGAAGAACATCGTGGGATTTGTGGATTCCAGCATCACTCCTGTAGGTTCCGGGGAGGTCTGGGAAGTTCTCATCCTCATGGATTTCTGTCGGGGTGAGTGTGCTATCAATCTGTCCACTCAGTGGACTCCAGCCTGCTTCACGTCCCCCGCCTTGCCCGCTCCACCATAGGTGGGCGGGCCTTCAGCCTCTCTGCTCCCACATTCTGGAACTCCATCCCACAGCCCCTGCGCCTCGTTGGCTCCCTTGCCTCCTGAAAGGCCTTCTCCTGTTTCTATGTTCCCATGTGAAGGGGACACACACGCGCACACAGTGCAGTCTAGACTTTCTAATCTTAACATGAGTTTCACATTAGACAGCAGCAATGTGTCTGGTGCAGTTCAGATCCAAACAAGAAGATGGTTTAGTTGTAGCTTGCAATCCCACACACCCTCCCTGATGTCAGAGAGCAGGTGTGCAGCTGTAGACTGCCCAACATCAGGCTGGGCTAGAATTCCGTTAATCGTTGCTCCGTGAAATTGCATTCTGCACAATCACATTCCTCAGGTTCACGAGGGTTGATTTCTTTGTGGATCATTCCTTTGGCAATTCACAACTTTCATCTGCTCGCCTCTCCCATTGGAAATGCGTGGCTGCCCTTGCCTCCGAGCTGCGAGTGCGACGAGGAGAAAGATGGCTGAAAGCGCGGTCAGAGAGGAAGGTCTTGAGGTGGACCTTGAAGCGCCGGGGTAAAGGACTCCGAGATTGAGCAAAGGGTTGGGGGCAAATACGCTGAAAGCTGAGTTCATGCTGTATCGGGTTGGTTTCATCGTGGCTTCTTTGCATTGATTTGAAACCGTGTGTGTCCTAGGGGGTCAGGTCGTCAACCTGATGAACCAGAGGCTACAGACCGGCTTCACGGAGACAGAGGTGCTGCAGGTGTTCTGCGATACATGCGAGGCAGTGGCATGGTTGCACCAGTCCAAAACGCCCATCATACACCGTGACCTGAAGGCAAGTGAAACCTTAACCATACTCTTGCATTTGGTACAGTACTTTATCACGTCGGAAGGACATTTCAAAGCGCTTCAAGGGATTTACTGTCAAGTGGAGTGGCTGTGTATTGTGGGAAAACGTGGCAGCACAATTGCGCACAGCGACGTCCCACAAACAGAATGACCAATTTAATTTGGGTGGGGGGATTGTTGGCCAATAATTTAATGAATAAATCAAACTCAGTCGTCACGTTTGCTCTTGCAACTCCCAACTGACTGCTAGATTTGTGAACGAGTCTTTGGTCTAAGCGCTTTTGAGACGTTTCAACAACATGATAAGGCGCTATATCAAATGCAAGGATTATTATTGTATTATTAGATATATAGATAGTGTGTGTGTGTGTATATATAATGTAAGTTGTTGTTGCTATTATCTCATCTCCCTGAATTTAGTATTGTATCACCCTTGTCCCCTGTGATTGTGTGCTTTTCAGTAACACGTTTCAGGCAGATGAATGGGCATGGTGTTTTATTTGTGGTGGTTCATTTCAGGTGGAAAACATCCTGCTTCACGACAAAGGCCACTACGTGCTCTGTGACTTCGGGAGCGCGACCGACAAGTTCCAGAATCCTCAGGTGGAAGGAGTCAACACAGTAGAAGATGAGATTAAAAAGTAAGGATTGATGTTTGTGCCTGGTGACATAGAAATATAGAAACGGGTGTGGGCTATTCAGCCCCTCGAGCCTGTTCCGCTATTCTATAAGATCAAGGCTGATCTGTACCTCAAGACCAGTTACCCGCCTTTGCCCCGTTTCCCTTGATATCCCGACCTAACAAAAATCTATCCACTTCAGTCTTGAAAACGTGAATGGATCAGCATCCACAGCCTTTTAGGGGAGTGAGTTCCAGATTTGACTGTTCTAACACTGTACTTTAGGTCCTTAATTCAGACCCTGTGTTCCTCACATAGTCCGTGATTCAATTTTTGACAGCATTACAACAACAATAATAATAATCCTTGCATTTGATGCAGCACCTTATCATGTCGTTGAGATGTCTCAAAAGTGCTTCACAGATTATACTGTAAAGTGAATTGACTTTTTACCCTAATTCTGTAAAGTATTAAGTGCAGGTTGGCAAGAGCCAAGGCTTGGGGGGACCCCAGAGTGTTGGTTGGGGTAACTGCTGGAGTCTAACCAGCTAAAATCGTCTGTCAAGCTTTCCCTCTGCTTGTGCAGCTCGGACCACCCTACCCGTTAGGACACTGGTGATCTGAGCTAGGTCACAGTCAGGGCACCAGCTGACTAGCTTCACTCTCCCACCTCTTGTGATCGTGGTGCCGTCTGGAATAACTCAGAGATCTCTTTGCATTTTACACTCCCTGCACCATCTGAAATATCACGTGATTAGTGTTAGATTAACTCAGCCTGCCATTGGGATTTCCTTGAGGCGAGAGTTTAATTACGAGACGACTTATAATATTGATTGTGTGAATCGTGCCCTGGGAATAGACGTAATGTTTCAGAAATCCAAAGGCCAGCATTCCTGGCACCACCACTTGGGTGTGGTACCACGGGGAACCTTTGAAACCACACACCAGGAAACCCAGAACTTCGACAATCCTAACATGCAAACACAGTGAGGAGTCCTATCAATTCTACGCTTGTGTTTGAACAAAAGCGATTTGTTTCACGTTCACTTTTCTCATGCCAGGCAGCCTGGGTCAGTCGGTCCCACTCACGCCTCTGAGAAGGAACGTTGTGGGTTCAAGTCCCCACGTTGGGACTTGACATTGTAGCCTAAGTTACGTCATTGGCGGTACCGTCCTTCGGAAGCGACTTTAAATCATGGTGCTGTCTGCCTTCAGTCTCATCTCAAAATAATAATTTGGTCACTCAATCCACCGCTGTTTGTGGGACACTGCTATGTGCAATTGGCTGCCATGTTTCGACCACAAAATATACAGTTAATTCATGTTACTGTTTACTCTGTGACGCACTTAGAGGCGTCTCGAAGATGAGATGAGGCGCTATATCAAATGCAAGAATTATTATTATTTTGGATGCAGATTCTCAGCTGAAGAACCAAACTTGTGTCTGCGACTGGTCGCCCGCCGTTGTACATTACAACACCCCGTGTCCTCTTGTTTCCATTTCAAAGCTGTCATTTCCAATAAATTGTTGCCAGCAATGAATTATTGAGCTGTCATGGCGTTTCAAAGGTGACAGAATGTTCACCGCCGAGATCACTGGGAAGCTATGTTGAGCATAAGATGCCGGTGTGGTGCATTTAAAGGGGAAGTTGAGTTTAAAGGGAGTATCCTTTCCGAGCGATTCTTTCTCCAAAGGAGAATCCACCTTTGGAGACTCTCCCTGGGAACCTGACTTTTCCTGCTCTGCATATTAAGAGGATTCTATCCTTTGGATGAGACATTAAACCTCACTCCCCCGACTGCCTGTTCAGGTGGATGTTAAAGATCCCGCGGCACTATTTGAAAAGAGGAGGGAGTTTCTCTCTCCCGGTGTCCTGGCTGACCATCCCCTCTTCTCCCCCTCCCCCAAATAAAATTAGTTGCTCACTCCATGGCTGATTGTGGGACACCTCTGCGCTGGCTGCCGCGTTTTACCCACAAAATATCCACTTAACAGCGTATCCTGTGAAGCGCTTTGAGAGGTCTCAACAGCATGATAAGACGCCATATCAAATACAAGGATTATTATCGTTGTATAATGGTGCCTGGATTCTTGCGAGCTGGCCGTAGCAGAGTCAGGAATGTGGGGAGTTAAAAGTGAAACGATTTCAATAAAAATCCTTGCAACTGTGTCTAGTCACGACACATTGAGTGAGGCCCCTTGATGAGCAGTCATTGGGAGAAATCAGCAGCTAAACTGAAGCGACTACATCTCAGCATTAAATATAATCACGGTGCCTGTCATTTTCAGTAAGGTGATTGCTGCTTGTCCAAGCGATATCATCTCATTGAAGAATTCTCCCTGCAGGGTAAGGCGTGCAGAAATACGAGGAGCAAAACCAAGATGCAGTCGCCTTTTTTTTTTTTAAATTCACGCTCCAGAAGATTCCTTCCTTTCAATGCAATCATAATAATAATCCTTGTATTTGAGATAACGACTCATCACGTCTCGAAGACATGATAAGGCATTATATATCAACAACAAGTCATACTTCACATCGGAACGTAGTCCCAGGGCGCTGGACAATCAGGAGTTTTTGGACCCGAGCTGAGAGTTGGCGTCAGCAGGAGTGAAGGGCAGTGGAGGTGGGAAGGTACCCAAAGTCACAGTTGAAGAGGAAGGTCTCTAGGCAGGACTTGAAGGAGGCAAGAGAGGTGGTGAGACAGAGGGATTGCGGGATAGAGTTCCAGAGTGTGGGGGCAGGGATGCTGAATGTAAATCCAAGGATTGTTATCATTATTTGTGGTTTCTGCCGGATGGCAGAGTTGACTCCTAAGCACAAAATAGGTTTTGAATATTTTGACCTGACATGCAAAGGGCATAAACCTCTCATCATCTCACTGTGACTCTTGTGTTTTTCAGGTACACAACATTGTCTTACAGAGCTCCGGAAATGGTGAACCTTTACTGTGGCAAACCAATCACCACAAAGGCTGACATCTGGGTAGGTACACGTTAGAGGCTGTGGAGTGAAAGCCAACACAGGTGCTGTTGAAGAGGAGGGTCTTGAGACAGGCCATGAAGGAGGCAAGGGAGGGGACTAGGCAAAGGGACTGTGGGATGGAGTTCCAAAGAGTGGGGGGCAGAATGGCTGAAACTAAACAATGCTGTTTGCATATTGTTTTGCGGTTGTTCCCCTCTGTCTCAGCTGACTGGAGATCGTGAACTCAAATGACTCTGCTCTTCTCACGTGTGGCTTTGTCTTTCAGGCGCTCGGCTGTTTGCTGTACAAACTCTGTTTTTTCACACTACCGTTTGGAGAAAGCCAGGTCGCCATCTGTGACGGCAACTTCACCATCCCCGATAATTCCAAATACTCCTCCGAGATGCACTGCCTAATCAGTAAGCAATGCAATGCGATTTACACAGCGCCTTTCACGCCAGGGGGAACATCTCGCAGCGTTGCGCACTGCTGGCTGGTTGGTGGAAGGGAAAAAGGTGGCTGAAAGAGCGTTTAAAGAGGGAGGTCAGGTTAGGAGGCAGGCTTTAAGTGGGGAGGGAGCGAGCAAGGCAGGGAGATTCCCAGACGATTTTCCTCTCTGTTTCTTTAGAGTCCTTTCTGGAGGACTGATTTTTTTTTAAATAATTGGCAAAAGAATCAGAAGAAAGACGAGGAGAAATTCTTTTTAAGAAGTAACTCAGCGAGTTACTCTCTGGAATGCATTGCCTGAAAGGGTGGTGGAAACAGATTCGATAGTAGCTTTCAAAAGGGAATTGGAGAGGTACTTGAAAAGGAAAAATGTGCAGGGCTATGAAATAAGAGCGGGGGAGTGGGACTAGTTGGTAGATCTTTCAAAGAGCTGGCACCGGCATGATGGGCCGAATGGCCTCCTTCCGTGCTGTAAGAGCCTATGAATTGTGCAGTGCCCTGTATTTGGCTTTTGTGGTGAGCTCTTCATAACAAAAAGCTTAAGGAAACGTAACTGAAAATAGTTCTCACGACAAACCAGTGGAAATGCTGTTTCCTGTGGAAGACGTCCTTGCTTGAGAGGTCTCTGATGCTGATCTTGATGTTATTTTATTCTTTGCAGGATATATGCTTGAACCCGACCCAGATAAGAGACCAGACATTTACCAGGTCTCCTACTTTGCATTCAAACAGATACGGAAGGATTGCCCGGTCCAGAATGTCGACGTAAGTCAAGCTTATACCCTGAGCTGTGAAGCGTGGTGTGAGTCTCGCCTAAGGAGGGGGACTGACACCTAGAGGGGTGGGGATTAGGAAGGGGGTTAATGTATGTGCATTGCTCAAGGATGCGAGCTTCTAAGTCTGTAGTTACGTGAGCGTCATTCTGCAGCCGAGTGAGTGATGGAACTTGTGCTACGCTTACTAAGAGCTGAGTTGCTGGTGTAAGCCAGAGCTTGAGATTGCACCCACCTTCCCTTTTCCGCCTCTGTTTCTGCCTCCTGTTCATAGAATCGTACAGCACAGAAGGAGGCCATTCGGCCCTTCGTGTGTGTACCGGCTCTTTGAAAGAGCTATCCAACTAGTCCCACTCCCCCGCTCTTATTTCATAGCCCTTCAATTTTTTGCCTTTTCAAGTGGGTATCCAATTACCTTTTGAAAGCAACTATCGAATCTGCTCCGCCACCCTTTCAGGCAGTGTATTCCAGATCGTAATAACTCTCTGGGTAAAAAAATTACTCCTCATCTTCGCTCTAGTTATTTGTTGTTATGTGTTTAAAGGGGAAACCAGCCGTTGAAAGGATTATGTGAGTTGGTAATGGCACTGGGTTAAGCAGCGAGACTATACTGGCAAATGGAGCATTGGCCTATGACACCAAGTTTAGAGCTTTGGGCTTCTGTTTTCTTGCGGATTCGCAGTAAAACGGACAAAGTATTTGGGATGAATTTGGAATGAAACAGCTTTAGAGGGAACGCTTGCCTGTGCACTATTGCTGGCACCTCACAAGGAATGTAATTGGAAGGGTGTCTAGGACTGTGACTGAACTGGAGGCAGGAATCAGACCTCTTGGCTGAGGGAACTCAGTTCAACCCAATAAATGATAGAGAAGGCTTTTGTGGGTTGTAAACTCCGGCACGGATCGGGAAGGCAGAATGACCATATCACTCGATGGAACTTAACTCGAGCTTCGTGACCCAGGGTTCTTGCCAAAGTTTTGCTCACTTCCTCACGTTTCCTTTTGTCTTTGCAGAACTCTCCCATTCCCGTCAAGCTTGTTGAGCCTGTGAAAGCCAGTGAAGCTGCTGCTAAGAAATCTCAGCCCAAGGCAAGGTTAGACAATTAATGGAGTTGACTCTCCATAAGTATATTTTCGGTGCCAAGTTTAACGTGTGAGATGTGCGCTGCATTGACGGAGCTGCCGTCCTTCGGATGAGACGCTAAACATCACTCCCTGTCCGTGCCCTGTTTAGCCGGACGTTAAAGATCTTCCGCTGCGCTATTTGAAGAGAGCAGGGAGTTTCTCTCTCCCAGTCAGTGTCCTCCAAATCCCCCGAATAAAATTGGTTGGTCACATCAATGGCCGCTTGTGGGACCCTGCTATGTGCTAATTGGCAAGTTTCCTTGCTCCACACGCCTCTGTTTAACGAGCAGTACGTCGGAACCCCACTGTTAGTTGATTGGCGGATTAATAATCTCTTCAATGATACTAAGAATTTCGTCATCCAAACTACAACTGTTAGTGGGACACTGCTGTGCTCAATTGGCTGCCATGTTTCGCCCACAAAATACACAGTCAATTCACTTTACAGTGTATCCTGTGAAGTACTTTGAGACGTCTCAAAGATGTGATAAGCCCCTGTATCAATTGCAAGGATTATTATTATTGGTTAAGTTTGCAATTGCCAATCTTCTCGCTTCAGGTTGACGGACCCGACGCCTCCCACTGAGACCTCCATCACTCCTCGCCAGAGACCCAAAGCTGGTCAAGCTCCAACCAACATTGGCATCCTTCCCATCCAGCCCGCCTTGACACCACGCAAGAGGCAATCTGCACAGCCTTCCACTCAGTCAGGTTTGCGATTCTCCTTGCACATTCTCTTCACATTCTCCACGGTGTTTAAAACGATAAAAGAAATCGACAGGCTAGCTATCCCAACCCCCAGCCCTCCACGGCCTCGCTCCTCCCTACCTATCTTTGTAACCTAACTCGATATCGACTTGTCCGTTCCCTCCGCTCAGCGGGCTCCGACCTGCTCCGTGGCCCTCACCCAGCCAGTGGTCGGGCCTTCAGCCTCTCTGACCCCCACTCTTTTGTACTCCATCCCACAGTTCCCTACCCTCGCCTCCTTCAAGGCCCGTGTCAAGACCTTCCTCTTCCATCGCTCCTATCCCTCCTGATCCCAACCCCCAGCTCGGGTCCAAATCCCTGATTTTCCAGAGCCTTGGGACGTCCTCCCGAAGTGAATGGCGCTGTGTAAATGTCACTTGTTGTAACTACAGAGTAACTATTTCCTCTGGTGGGTGGGGAATCAGAACAGGGTGGGGGGCATAATCTGGAAGACGTGATAAGGTGCTTTATCAAATGCAAGGATTATTACTATTATGATAATCTCACGCAGTGAAGGCCGGAGCAGTGCAATAAGGTCTGTGATGTTTCTCGTTGTCTCTAGGTGTGGTGGTTATGGGTGGGGGTCAGGTCGCTCAGCCCCCCGCTCTCCAGCAGCCTCCCCTGCAACACCCCAAGCACCAGCCGCAGCTGTTACTGCAACAGAAGCAGCCGCCAGCACCAGTGCAACCAAAGCAGCCGGTGCCAGCAGCCCCACCGCAGCCAACACAGGCACAGCAGCCACATCTCTTCCTGCAACAGCAGCAGATACTGCAACAGCAACAGCTCCTGAAGGCCCAACAGGTCAGTATGGAGTCCTGTAGCTCAGTGGTTTGAGCACTTGGCTCACAAGCGAGAGGACCTGGGTTTGAATCCCTGGCAGGCCGAAACGTTGGGCAAGTTTCCTTACTCCACACACCTCTGTACCCAGCAGTAAGTAGGAACCCGGTTGTTAATCGATTGGCGGATCGCTTTTCCAGGGGTAATAATGCCTTCAAAATAAATAATAATCTGGTCACTCAATCCACGACTGTTCGTGGGACGCTGCTGTGCACAATTGGCTGCCGCGTTTTGCCCACAAAATATAGTCAATTCACTTTACAGTAATAATAATAATCCTTGCATTTGATATAGCGCTTTTCACGTCTTCTCGACGTCTCAAAGCGCTTCACAGAATAGACTGTAGAGTGAATTGACCGTATATTTATATTCTGTGAGGCGCTTTGAGACGCCTCAAAGACGTGATAAGGCTCTATGTAAATGCAAAGATTATTATTACAACTACTAACACTTGAGATCAGTACAGACGATCTGTGAATCAGAGCAGCACCTCTTTGTGGTTGCGTTTATGTGGGGGTGGGGGTGAGGCAGGAAGGTTGCTGAAATCCGGACATGCAGGTATGTTTTACCTTTTTGCCATTGTTGTGTGTTTGCTGCAAGGCGCTGAGCACAAAGTGCTGCCTCTGGTGATCGCATGGCTTGAGTTTGCATTTTTTTTTCAGTTGCATTTTATTATCGTTGGTTTATTTAAGTAGATATCTGTGCCTTTAAACGTCAACAACCCTCCCGCTATATTGATGGCAGCAGTTATCGGGCAGACCGCAAAAAAAATGAGGTCGTTGTTTCAACCCTCCAAACAATTCTGTAATTGAAGGACAAAATATGCAGTCAATACACTTAACCGTATACTCTGTGAAGCGCTTTGAGACGTCCCGATACTGTAAAGTGGATTGACTGTGGTATTTGTGGGCGAAACAGGGCAGCCAATTGCGCATAAGTGTCCCACAAATAGTCGTGGATTGAGTGACCATATAATTAAGTGACGACATAGCAAAGCTTTATTAAGTCCCTGCTATTAAAGCGGTTTGTGTTCTAAAATCGGCAATTGTTTGACCCTTTAATTGTTTAGTAAAAATAAATGATCCTTGCTTTTGATACAGCGCTTTTCACATCTTCGAGACATTTCAAAGCGCTTCACAGAATACATATATTGTACGGTGAATTGACTGTGGGCAAAGTAGATATTAAGAATCGAATAATAGTTTGGTCACCCCACCCACGACTGTTTGTGGGGACACTCCTCTGCAAATTGCCGTTGCATTTCACTCACCAAAAAATATACAAATTCGCTTTACACTATATCCTGCGAACCGCTTTCAGACGTCTCGAAGACGTGATAAGGCTCGGAATCAACTGCAAGGATTATTAGTTGGTAGTTTTGCAGTGTTGAGCTGGCTGTTGACTGTTACTTTAAAGCTATGGGGTGTGTTTGTGTGTGTTGTGTGTTTTCTTTGGGGGTTCGACCTGCTTTCCGTCGCATGTCTTGATGCATGTGTTTGTGCAGCAGTACCAGCAAGCTCAGCAGCAAGCAATGCAGCAGCAGATGATGCAGAATTACTTTCTCCAGCAACAGCAACTCGTAGCTGCCTCCACGCAGCGGCAGCAACAGTGCGTGAGCCAGCCGGCTGCGGTCTCAGCCCCAATGCAGCCCCTACCGCAGCAGCAGCAGCAAGCTGCAGTACCTCATTGCGTCACCGCTCAGGAACCCGGCACGGTAAGGCTCCGGGGGAGGGGGGGTGTGCGCGTGGAGTTTAACCCTTTCATCGAAGGCATTGGAATCAGCCTCCTGTCTTTTGGTGGGTTCACGCCGAGACAGAATTCAGCCTCTCACAAGCGTAGGTGTTTCCTTCTGCACATGCTCTGTTATATACTCCCCACTGAAGGTTCTTTCACTCCCCCACTGTGTCCGCCTTACTCACTCCCCCTCCCGCAAAGATATAGCTCTGCCCTCAGCCAAGGTGACTTACAGTGCTAGCTGCATTTGAGCGTCGAAGGAGTTGCCTTTAGTGAGACATTTCACGGGTGGCTGTGTGTGACAGTGGTGTGGATTAGTTGTACTGGCAGGGAAAGAGAGGTGAACAGCAGCCCTGTGCAATAAGCAGTGGTGCTGGCTGTGCTGTGCTGAGCTGCCAGACACCCTTTGTTAACACTCGTCCTTCTCCTCGCAGGCTCAGATACAGCCACAGCCAGCAGCCCCGAACCCGGCCCCCAAGATGGTCTCCCTCACCCCTCCATCGTCTCCTAAGACTCAACGGGCCGGGCACAGGAGGATTCTGAGCGACGTCACGTACAGTGCCGTCTTCGGGGTTCCTGTCAGCAAATCCACCCAGCTCCTGGCTGCTGCCGCGGCTGAAGCCGGCTTAAACAAGTCCAAGTAGGTGCAATTCACTCCTGTGTCTCTTATATCGGGGGTAATAATTCCCTCAACAACAACAATAGTAAAATAATAAATTAGTCACTTCAATCCACGGCTGTTTGTGGGGACACTGCTCTGCGCAATTGGTTCCCGCATTTCGCCCACAAAATACACAGTCATTTCACTTTACAATATATTCTGTGAAGTGCTTTGAGACGTCTACACCCTGAAACTCTGGAACACTCTTCCTCTATCCCTCCTCCTTGCCCCCTTCCCTATCTTCAAGTCGAGCCTGAAGACCTTCCTCTTCGACCGGGCCGACGATTACCTCCCCCTCTTTCCCCGGCTCGGTGTTGTGTTCGGCCACTGTCAAGCGCTCTGGGGCGCTGTGTGAGGGGCGATGTGTAAATGCAAGTTGTATTGACTGCGTGATCTCCTCTGGGCCCAGGTCAGCCACGACCACACCCTCGGGGTCTCCCCGCACCTCCCAGCAGAACGTGTACAATCCCCCCGACGTCTCCACCTGGAACCCGTTTGCTGACGACAACTTCGCCATTCTCACTGCCGAGGAGCTGCTCAACAAGGATTTTGAAAAGCTCAACAATGGTAAGTCCCGTAGCGTAGTGGTTAGAGCGCTCGCCTCGCAAGCGAGGGGACACGGGTTCGATTCCCAGGCTGCGGTGCTATCCAAAATGAGAAGGGAGTTTCTCTCTCCTGGTGTCCTGGCCAACAAATCGCCCAAACAAATGTGGTCGCTCACTCCACGACTGTTTGTGGCTGCCGCGTTTCGCCCCCAAAAATCCACAGTCAATCCACTTTACAGTATATTCTGCGATGCGCTTTGAGACTCCTCGACAACGTGATAAGGAGCTATTTCGAATACAAACTTTATTATCATCATTATTGTTATTGATATCAGGTAAAGCTGAGAAGCCCAATGCAAACCCAGAGCACCTCATCCCGGGGCTGTCGCCAGCACCAATCCAATCGCCAGGAGACGCCTTTGGGACCGTTCACTTCGCAACCAGAGCAGGTCAGTGCACAGACTCCAGCCATCGCCTCCTGAGTAATCCAATGGCGCTTTGGTTGGATTCAAGTCTCGTGTTGCCAAGGCGTTTTCTCTTGCCTCTTTCAAGGAACATCAGCCACCCTCCTACCTCTCTGCCCTCATCCCAACCCTGACACCAACCCCACCCCCCACGCTTGGGTCCTGATCCCCAACTGTTCAGCACCTTGGGATGTCCTCCCGACGTGAAAGACGCTTTACAAATGTGATTTTGTTGTTGTGGAGCTTGAGTCTTGTTTACATTAGCTTCAGTTGATCTGATCTGAAGCTTCACGAGAATTGAATAGGCAATTGAAAAGGAACAATTTGCAGGGGCTTATGGAGTAAGAGTGGGACTAGTTGGATAGTTCTTTCAAGTAGCCGACACAGGCACGATAGGCTGAATGGCCTCCTGTGCTATAAGATTCTATGATTCCAAGCCAAATGGACCCAACCTGCCCAGATGATGGATTCAAAACTTTGCTAAACTGGTGCTCGGTTCTGAAGATGTGTAAATCAGTGTATAGTCTATCATTGAACAAATGGCTAGATCAGAAGCCTTTCATCTCGGATCACTGTGATGGCCAGGGGCACCTGAAAGTCACTATACCAAATGCAAGGATTATTTTTACTGAGGCTGTGAGAAAGTCGTGGTTTTATTGGTCCCAAAGTTGCGTCCACAGTTTGTTAAAGTTGTGGTTTTGGTGCAGTCAGCTCAAGTTCTCAACGACGTGATAAGGCGCTGGATGAAAATGTGAGGATTAGTATTTTTATGATTATTGTTGAGAAACGCCTTTATGTTTTGCTTAGCTTTGCCCATTGAAAGAACACAGCGATCCATCTTGATAAATCACGGGCAGAAGTTGAGCTGAGCTTCTGCTGTTGCTCAACTGGGAGCGATGGGCTGGAGCACAGCCCCTGTGTCTGCAAAGCGCTGATTAAACCACATTCTCTTAGCCTCGTTCCCTCCCTTGCCTCCTTCAAGGCACATCTCAAGACCCTCCTCTTCAACATTGCCTTCAGCCATCATCCTACCCCTACCCTCCCTTGTCCCCCCCCTGCTGCTCGGATCCAAATCCCTGACTGTCCATCGAACTGGGATGTCCTCCTGACATGAAAGTCCCTGTGTGAATGTAATTTTGTATTGTATTGTAAAACGGTCAGGCTTGTAGCCTGCATTTTGATTGGGAACACAAAGCCACTGGGATTCATCCATTGGCAGCTCGGTTTTGTTTTGCTCTCAAGAGCCATTTACTCTTTGGCACCAATGTTCAGTCAGAACACTGAAGTCATTGGATAAGGTTTGGCAGACACACACACGTACACATACTGTTTCTCCTGTGACTGCATGAACAATCTACATCTCAATGACGTGATATCAAATGCAGGGATTATTATTATTATTATCTCTGCTCTCAAATCCTTTTTACCTTTATTCCAGGTGAGGTTGAGTGCACTGGCTACACTTTGTCTCTGTTAGCAAAGATCTGAAATTGTAGAACAAGCAGTGAACGAGCACTGTGATCTGCTGTGAACAGTAAAATACATGTGGCCAGTGATACAGGGCAGCCATACAGACCTACGCTTGTGTGTAACTGCTTTCTGTTTCTCCTCTTTTTCTCCCTCTGACCTTTTTTGTCTCTTGCGTTGAATCAAATCAGCTGAAAAATCTGCAGACGTGTTGGTTCTTGAGGCTCCTGCTTCAACACTGAATGTTCCTGACCCTTTCACTCCTGTTCTATCGTCTGATGCACCAGGTAACGTGCATTTCTTTGTGAGCGTTAAAACCGTATTTTTGCGACTGACGCAAGCAAGCTCCATTGTCCCATTTCATCATAACCAACTGACCGTGTTCAGTCTGTGATGACATTGATTGAGTGTGTGTGTTTGTGTGTACAGTCAGGAGCACTTCGTAACCTACCTTAGCTGAGAGATAAGTACTGAACCATTTGCAGGTATCTGAGCCCATTCATAATGCACTGTGTTGGGCGTTTGGATGAACTGGCTCCAAGGTGACGTGCCTGGCAACGGAATGTCAGAATCAAGTCAGCCCCCTGTGGAAGTCTCACTAGTCCGGATCCTGTGCCAGACGGGTCCGCAGTATTCCAGGGCAGTGTTGATGACAGCACAGCCTGACTCATCGGCAGGACCTGGAAGGGAAGACCAGTCACTGGGGTCATGGAGTCATCCCACTTAACTCCCGTTAACCCTGCAAGTCAAAGCCTTAATGGGTAGGGTGGTCCTAGCTGGACAAGCAGCAGGAAAGCTTGCCGGGCAATATCAATGGCAAGCTATGCGGTTTTAGCTGGTTAGACTGCAACAGTTACCCCAACGCACACCCCTAAGACTTGGCTTTTGCCAACCCACGACTAATAATCTCTGGAATTAGGTAGCAGGATGTGTCCCTCCAGGGAGAGCGCGTGTGTCACATTTAAACAACCTGTCTGGAATTTCCATGTGTCGGTGGGATGCATGCAAATCTCAGTTTGGTTTGTAGACTCTTAAGCATGGTGATGGGTTTCCGAATACGTCAGACACCCGGCTGACCCCATTAAAAAAAAATGATGCACGGTGCAGGTAGTCCTTTCATTCCATCAACACATCCTCACTTGCTACAGCAGCCTTGTTCACCAAGTTTACAACCTTACTTAAATTCATGGAGTATAAATGCTTGCACAGACTGGTTGAGAAAAAGGATGTGTTTCTGTGCTGTAAAAGTCAATCTAATTCCTCCAGAATAATTCTTTGTTCTAAACAGTTCCAATGTTGCTCTTATTTTAATATACTTGGCAAAGATCCAGTGGAGAGATGAGGAGATTTTTTTTTAACGCAGCGAGTTATTTCGATCTGAATCGCACTGAAGCGGATTCAAATCATAACTTTCAAACTTTACTGGATAAGTACTTGAAAGGAAGAACTTGCAAGGCTATGGGGTAAGAGTGGGGAGGGGAGGTGGACTGGGACTGATCTTTCAAAGAGCCAGCAAGGGCACGATGGGCTGAATGGCCTCTTTCTGTGCTGTAGGATTCTATGATTCTATTTTATGTTTCGTCTCCTGTTTTATTCTTTCCTACCATTTATTGACTGACAGAGAAGCTCATTGAAGGGCTGAAGTCTCCCGAGACTTCTTTCCTGCTCCCCGACCTCTTAAGTCTTGGCGATCCCTTTGGGAGTACAGAGGAGAATATCAATGGTAAAAATCTGTTTGATGTGCGTGGTCTGTCACCCTAGGGGTCGGAATGTGAACTATTTTCAGCCATTTGAGCTTTTTCAGCCCATTTAAAGTTTGAACGCATTAACTGTGATGCCTTTTGTAGCTTGCACAATTCGCCCTCAAGATATTGAGTCATTGCACTCTAGAGTTGCCCTGTGAAGAGCTTTGAGACAGTTCCTTGACAATAAGGTACCAAACCAAACAGAAACAAGTGAAGTCCCATAGCGTAGTGGTTAGCTCATTCGTCTCGCAAGCAAAAGGACCTGGATTCGATTCCCGGGCAGGCCAAAACCTTAGGCAAGTTTGTTTACTCCACACGTCTCTCTTTACCCAGCAGTAAGTAAGAACCCGGTTGTTAGTCGATTGACGGATTGCTTTCTGGGGGTTAGAATCCCTTCAAAAAAATAATAATAATACTTTGGTCACTCAATCCACAACTGTTTGTGTGACACTGCTGTGCGCATTTGGCTGCCACGTTTCGCCCACAAAATACACAGTACCTACACTTTAAGTATATTCTGTGAAGCTCTTTGAGACGTCTTGAAGATGTGATACGGCGCTATATCAAATGCAAGGAGAGCTTGACAATGATGAGCCAATTCCTTAATGTGCATGAGAAAGCTAACAAAATGGCTACACAGTGTATTGTTCAGCTCCCGGGGGTTTGCAACGCGCTGGTGAATTCTGACCTTGAAGCCCCTGTTGCAGAAGTTGTGCATTGGGATTGTAAATATTTTCGTTCCTCTTTACTTCCATCTGTCTCGTGAGTTTCCTCATACCCATCTCTGTGTGCAGTATCCACTGTGATTGTGTGTTGTCTGTGGCTCAGCATGCTATTGGAAATGTGCGTTGTTCAGTGTGTTTGGTTCCATCTCAGTCTGTGCCCGTGCATGAATTGTGTATGTAATATACATGAGCGCTATGAAGCCAGCCTTCTCTGTCCCATGCCCTGTTTTGTGGCATCTATTTTAAAAAGGGCGATATATGGGATTAATAACCACAAATGACACATACACAGTGCCTTTCACGTCGGGAGGACGTCCCAAGGTGCTGGACAGTCAGGGATTTGCACCCAAGCTGGGGGTTGGGATCTGGGGGGTTGGGGTAGGAGGGTACGGTCGAAGAGGAGGGTCTGAAGGAGACGTGGGAGGGGGCGAGGTGAAGGCACTGTGGGATGGAGTTCCAAAGAGTGGGGGCAGAAAGGCTGAAGGCCTGACTGCCGATGGTGGAGAGGATCTGGCGGGTTACACTGAGCAGACAGGTCAGTATAGAGTTAGCCGGTCACAGAAGTAGGGAGGAGCAAAGTCCAACATGATATAATAAGCTAGTATAGCAAACTCATTGCTTCCACGAATCCTTTAATTCTCGACCTCTAGACTCTGTAGGGATAAGTTTATCTCCAGTCTACGCTGTAGAGGCTTGAAGATTCCACTTGCCCATTATCACTAACTGTTGTAAAGGCTGTGCAAAGGTTTTATTTTAAACTTCTCTCATCGAGCAGTGTTAGTATTCTCTGAACCCTTCTCCTTAATGGCAGCTTGACGTGCGCTTAACACATCCTCTTGCTTTTCTGATCTCCAAATCTTTTCCTTTTCCGTGGTGCTTTCGAAGGAAAATCTGAGCTAGCTGTGGCGAACCTCCTCCATGGATTTGAGGCCCCAATGGCTCAGCGACTGACTCCATCACAGGCTGAGTCTTTAGTTGCTGTGTCCGGCACAAACACTCCAGGTTGGTACACATCCCTACCATCATCCAAACTTCAGTTAACTGTTCG